TTTGTTCAGCAACGAGCACGTTCCGGCACTGCACTGCCAACGCCACCAGCGTCTCATGTGCTTCGTGCCACATGCCTCACTTAATCCTCACGCCACTGTACATGACTGAGACTATTACCCCATTTAACAGATGGGGAAATCAAGGCTCCAGGAGGCAGTAGCTTTACCAAGGCCACAGAGCTAGTCAGCGGCAGGCAGGGTTCCAGGGCAGCTCTGACTCTAAAACCGGAACCACTTCTGCCTCAACTGCTATATCTTTTCTGTCTGGACGGATGTTATTGGGGTTGTCGGAAAAGTCATGATGTCTTTTTTTCCATGTTTTTCGTTGCAAAAATGCGTCATGAGTTTTCCGACAACCCAATACATCCAAATCCATGTAAAAGTAAGTGCTCATCCTACCATATGCCTGACCAGTCCTCCTCAAAACTGTCAAGGCCATCATAAACAAGGAAAGTCTGAGAAACTGTCACAGCCAAGGAGAGCCTAAGGGGACATGACCGCTAAATGTATGTGGTGTCCTGAAACAGAAAAAGGACTTTAGCTCAAAGCTACAGAAGCCTGAATAAACTACGGACCTTAGTTAATAATAATGTATTAACATTGGTTCACTAACTGTGCAGATGTATTATACACATGTAAGATGTTAATTGAATGGGGCAACTGTGTGTATGAGTGTTGGGGGAGGGGGTTACATGGGAACTCTCTGTACTAGCTGCTCAATTTTTCTATAAATCTAAAACTGTTTGGAAAAGAGAGTATTTTTTTCAAAAGTGAATGTTCATTACTTGACCCACAAAGCAATGGGAGATGGTTAGGGTTCTAGAGGCCCACGAGGGTATAAGCTCCCAGAGGCAGAGCCCTCTGCCAGTCTCCTTCACTGCTGGGTCCCCAGGGCTGAGCACTCTCCCTGGTACACAGGGAACATGCAGGGTTTGTTGAGTGACTCCACGAGTGTCAAACTTGTTCTGCACATTGTACATGAGGGGGAAAATAAAGGCGTGCACAGCACCCAGGTTCTCAGATGCCTGACACAGGTACGAACGCTAATTAGTAAGCAGTTCAGACAGAGAGGCTAGGAGGGTTGGAATGGAAGGTTCTTACACAGTGGCTGACGGGTAAGGCATGACAGGAACCGAGGACACGTAGCCAAAAGCAGGAGGGGCTGGTACCGAAGGCACAGCAGCCAGATACCACAGTCCAGGGGGCGGCCGGGGTGGCGACCCCACCCGCTTGCTCCTCTGCTTGGGGCTGGAAGTTGAAGGTGCATTTCTCCTCGTGGTGGCCTTTTCTGCCCCTGCCAGGAAAAAGGACACCAGAGGGACACAGTGTGACCACTTGGAAAGATCTAGCAGAGAACAGAGGGTGGGCCCAGACCCTGCTATATTATAGCTGGACACTGGGCTAGCCATGCTAGGAGTGCCTGGATTTGGGAAGCAAACCCTCTCCAGTGTGCTCCATCCCAGACTCGGGAGAACAGCCACCCTTCTAACCCTGTCCGGGCCCCCAACCCCCAGCAAGAAGAGCTAAGGGAAGAGGCCGAGCATCTGTTCCTACCAGAGGTGGTTGTGTCTGGGCCGTCCCCCTCTGAGGGGGACCCAACTTGACCACACAGGGGACATCGCAGGGCATCAGTGGGAGACGGTCCCAGTGGGTCCCTGATGACAGCACCACCTGGAAAAGGAGAAGGAGACATCAGGAGAGGGTTATGTCTGAATCATCAGGCCTGGAGCCTCCCAGGCAGGGCTCTTACAGCACTGAGCGTCCCTCAGGAAACATGCAGAGGAGACAAGCTGGGTGACAACAATATCGATGACAACCATGACAGGGAGTCCACATTTAATGAGCCAGGCCCTCTGCTCAGGGCCTTCATGCATTATTTTGTCAAATCCAACAACCCACTGGGCTAACGACCGCCCTCTCTCCCCCATTTTACAGATGGGAAAACTGAGGCCCCAAGAGGTTGAGGCTTTTTACCAAGGTCTCAGAGCTGGGAAGCGGCCGTCCTGTACCTGACCCCAAGCCCAGCTCTTCTGACTGCAGCCCTATGCCTATGGTCCTTCCTGCACAGAGAGACAGGCCCGTTCTCCATGTGGGAGGGCCCCACAATGGCCCCAGGCACCAGAGGGGTCAGTGGAGGCCTGAACTTGCTCAGCTAGCAGGAGAGTGGGCACCCTTGTTCTCTTCCCATGCAAATGCTCCATGCCACCTCTGGGTCACTTCCAAGATCAGGTTTACTTCTCCTTCAGGCCTCAGCTCAGCCATCACTCCCGCTAGGAAACCCTCCCACTCACCAGGCTGAGTTACAGGCCCCCTAACCCGCCTTATGCTCCCCCATCCCAGCTTTGACCACTCCACTTTGTCATTGTCTACTTAGCTGAGAGTTCCTTGGGGACAAGTCTCCAGGGCCCAGTATGGAAAGGTGGTGAATGAATGAATGAATGAATGGGGAGGACTATTGGAACTCTAGCAAAAGCAGAGGGACATAGTGAAGTGCCTGGAGTTGCAAAGACCTGGGTTCAAATCCCAGCTCTACTACTTATAAGCTATTAATATATGCCCTTGAGCAAGTGGCTTAACACCTCTGAGCCTCAGTTTCCTCACTTATAGAATGGACATAATAATAAGAGCAAAACCTACTTTATAGAGTTGTAAAGATTAATGTTTGTAAAACCCTTAGCATGATGCCCTGTATACAGTAGGGGCTTAATAAATGACAGCTCTATCATTATCATCATCATCGCTTGAAAGGGTATCAGAGACCATCTCCAACCCTTTCATTATGGTTGTGGAACCTGAAGCTCAGAGAAGTGAAGGAACTTGCCTAAGGTCACACAGCAAGTCAATGGTAGAACTGAGACTGGAACGCGGTGTCCACAGTCTCAGGTCACTGCTCTCCCCACTACTCTTCCCTGTTGGGTTTGAGGGAGAGGATACGGAGTAGAGGGAGGGTGGAGTGGAGATAAGATATAATCACTGCCTCTAGCCCCTCTGCTGCCCAGCACCCTCTTATCAGGACCTTTCAGGAACTTCTTAAATCATGTCCATGGTTTCTCCATGTCAAGGTCAAGAAGGCGGCTTTAGGCAGCAGCACCTGGAGCAAAGGGGTAAGGGCAGGACACCCTGGGAGGCCTGAGAAGCCCGGGAACATCCCATCCCTAGTCCATCCTTTTGACCCACCCCTGAGCTCGGGGCAGGCCCATGCCTGGCCTGGCTGGACCCGCCCCAGAGAGAAGCTGCAGCCTCGCGGCCCTGGCCGTTTCCATCTCTTACCTGCGTCCTGGGTCCTGACAGGCTGGCAGTGGGAACAGGAAACTGTGCTACTGCCTTTTGGGACAAACTTGGGGGTCAGAACATGGTACTCCTGGCCTAGGGACGAACACAGAGCAGTCAGTGTCAGCTCTCTGCATGGCTGCAGGGTTGAGGAGGGTTTAGCATAATGACCCCTCTCCTATTCCTCCAAATGGTTTCAGCAGTCTCTTTTATTTAATTTGTGCATGCACGTGCGCACACACACGTGGCATATGTGCATAAATACGTATCTATTAGTGTGTATGTAGATGTACACTTGTACATAAAGACACATTGATCTGTCTGTTTATTATAAGCTCTCTCAGACTCCTGTTTCATCTCAGATCCTATTTAGGTACCAGCTGCCTAGTTCTCAACACACAGAAGCAATCAACAAACCCAAGCTCACTTAGGATTTGAAAGCGGGCCAGGAAGACATGATGAGCAATGACAAAGAGCACTGCCACACCCAGACTTGACTTGCTGCTTGGGACAGGAATGGCTTGTGCATCGGGTCAGTGGCATTTTCTCCCTGTGCTTTGAGGGGCTGTACAGGTCCTGCAAACAGCAGGCACTTCATAAACTTCTTTATGGCTGACTAGCTGAATGGGCTTCCCCAGAACCAAGCATGGGCCCTGGAGAAGGCGAGAAAGGCATCAGAAATTGTTTACTGAATGAATGAATGAATGAATGAATGAATGAATGAATGAACAAACGCACTGAGATTCACAGAGGCAATGCTCCCTGATGTTTGCTATATCACAGAACTCATTGAAAATGACAATGTTTGAATGACTAACTGGAAAAGGCTTCTCATGACAGAGGAGACCACCCTGGGGACTGTGCCCACCCCAGCCCTTCCTTTCGGCCCACCTGTGTATTGGCCCCGGAAGGTGACCTTGTCTGGCCGTCCGGCTCTGCCCATTCCTCTCGTTCTGTCCTGAGCTGCCTGTGGGCTGTCCTTGGTAGTCCTGCGCTTCTCTGAGAAGAGCTCGGGGAACGCTGGCTCAGAATCAGAACCTGGGGTGGAAAGAGAGGGGCATCAGAGGTGGCAAGCAGGGGGGTCACAGCACCACCACAGCAATCCCAGGAAGCAGGTGCTAGTATTCCTGCACTGTGAGCTGTCCCTTTACTGCACAGGTAATGCAGCTCGGGGAGTGGGCGATTCTAACCCCAGATCCACTCCTTAGTAATAACATTGGACACATCCGGCCCCCTGCCCTTGTGCTCAGCACTGGTCTCGACACTTTGCATGCACTCTGTCCTGCTCCTCCACAGCAATCCCAGAAGGCAGGTGCTATTATTTCTGCACTGTGAGCTGTCCCTTTACTGCACAGGACAGGTAAACAACCCAGCCAAGTTTACACAGCCAGGAAGGAGTGAGCTGGGGATGAACCCGGCCACTGATTCCAGAGCCGTGTTCCATTAGGCAAGTGCCCTGCGCTTTCGGGCTTGGGTGTCCCTATCTGCAGGCAGTGGATACTATGATCTATCATGCAGAAAACATTAAGGGAGGTGATCTATATACAAGGCCTTACAGATGCAGTAGCTATTACTGGACATACAGTGTGCTACAGAGCACCACAACTGCCTAAAACAGACACACAAAAACCTTCCCCAAGTTCCCGCTAAGGCTGTTGCTGTGGTCCCTGACCACTGAGCCAACACGCCCAGACTGTGGCCTCAGGAAATCAGTCCTAGCAGGTGGTCACTTACTCAAGGACAGTCGGGGCACCTCCCGAGGCACCGAGGAGGATCTGGCTCGCCGCCTCCCTAGGGGAACAGCTTGCTCTGCACCTCCAGGCTCACAGGACAACCTCTCTGTGGATTTACTAGCAAGAGAGAGAGAGAGAGAGAAAGTGAAAGCTGACATCACTGAATAAGGTTTCATGCAGCCTCTAAATGTGATCAGTGAGAAGGCCGACCCGGAGAAATGTTTATAACAGAGTGGGGGCAGGAGGGCACGGAAGTCCAAACCAGAGAGCCCGGAGTCATAATCACAGAAAATGGCTCTGAGCTTCTCTAACCCTCAGTTTCCTCATCTGTCAAATGGGGATAATAAGAGCAATTACCTCAGAGGGTTGTTGGAAGGATTAATGAGAAAATGTCCATAAAACCCTTACCCTAGTGCCCTCCCAGAGAACCAGTCAAAGTTATCTGATTTTATAAGCTATCGCCATGAGTGAATGTCTGCTGAGTGGGTGGATAAGAGGGTGAGAGTCCTGAAAATATTCTAGTTGTTTAGTTAGGTGGTGAGTTCAGGGATGTTCGCTGTATCATGCTTCATTATTAACACATATGTTTATCATCTTTTCTATGCATCAAATATTACACAGCAAAAAAAAAATATGAGAGCGAATGGATGACTGAGTGAATGAGTGACAGAAGGATGTGGCTGTGCCTATGTCCACATGGAGAGCCAGAGGCCGGCCGTATCCACCTCCTGCGGCTGCCACCAGGGCACAGGGTGGAAGATTTGGGGTCACCCACCTGCCATAGTGAGAGTACCAGGCTGGGGAGTCTGCTGGCCGGTCCCGGGCCCGAGCAGGGCGGGTGAAGGTAGACGCTGGAGGTGTCAGGCTGCCCTGGTGTGACTGGTGCAGGCTGTCCTCCAGCCGTAGGCGGAGCCGGGACACCTCCTCTTGCAGCTCCCGGATGGCCTGGCTGGGGTGGGGTGGAGACAAAAACAAAGAATGGAGCTACAGTCCGCTGCTCCCGCCCCCACGCCCCCAGAGTGCTGCCCAGTGTAGCAGCCTTTGTCCCTTTCTAGCCAGCATAGCGTCCAAGTCTGCTCTTGACTCTAGAACTTCCCTGTGTGTTCACTTTTCTTGCTGTGCATCTTGAACCTCTCTGAGTTCACATCCCTGCACCTTAGGTGAACAAACCAGAACTTTCTTTGAGATTCATCCGTCCTAACATGCAAGGCCTCTGAGTGGCTGTTCTGAACCACCAGGAACCAATTCTCAAGATAGAGATGAGGGTGCAGAATCAATTGGATAAAGTTCCCCCTTTAAAATTTGAATTCTGACCTACCTCGGCCCCTGCCCTCCCTTCCTCTACCTCTGTCTGTAGACATCCTGACGACTTCTGCCCTGACTCAGCCCTTCCCTCCTGGGTTCCCCCAAACACTTCCTACGTTGTTCAAGCCCATCTCTTCGATCCTGGAAGAAGATGCTTATCTATCTGCCTCTCTAACCAGATAGCCAACAGCAGGCAAGGAGCAGGCCTCCTCATCTCACAAACCCTGAGACCCTTAAAACTCATGGACGCTCAGGGAATGTTACTGACCGGGACTCCAGGCTCCAAGAGGGAGCAGACTAAAGGGCTGTGCATGGAGAGAAGACAAGGAGACAACATGGTGCTTCCCGTCACCAACTGAATGTGAGCAGGCTGGAAGCTGTAGGGTGCTATCTGCAAGGGGCTGCTGGGAATCCCTGTGAAACCCCAGCCACAGCCCAACCTCTTATCAGAAGGTATCTCAACGAGCTGCTAGCATCTAAGGGGAAAATACTGATTGCATTTCTCTCTAACCAATCCCCGAATCTCTAGTCTCGTCCTGAGGGTATCACTGGCATTGTGGCAGACAGTCCTACCCAGACACTCCTACTCACAAACCCTCCCACTCCAATCCCAACGGAGTGTCAGAGTCTGGCTTGGCGTGGCTGTCCTCCAGGCTGATGTGGGTTCCACATCTACTGCGTGGGGCCAGCTTCTGGGGTGGGGGCTCCCCTCAGGGTTAGCTCTTGCCTGGTGGCCCTGGGACTCGTGGGTGAGTGTCTCCCGGCGACACTTCCTGCAAACATCAGCTCTCAGGTGAGTGTGCTAGAAGGAGCAAGTTATAACTAGAGCCTCTCTGGTTATGCCCCAGCACAGTGTGTGCCCAAGGGCAGTTGGTTCCCCTGGCAATCCCCAGGGAGACGCTTGTTGGGGTTTCCAAGGCAAACTGTGAGAGTGGGGGCTGAAGGAAAGCGAGAGCTCCGTCACCCCTGCAAGGCAGGGCAGAGGCTCCGAGCTGCTGGTGAGGACCTTGGGCAGCTCTGACTTCCTGCCCCAGGCCAAAGGTTGGTGAATGAGGTCCTGGAACTTGGAACACCCACTTGGGTGTCAACTGTCCTCTCTCTGTTTCTGTCAGGATCTCAGGCTTCCTGACTTAATTCTTTAGTGACTAAGTGCAACCTGACATTTCAAATCTATCTTTCCCTGCAAACTCACTCCCCTCTTAGGTTCCTCATCTCTATACCAACACCCAACTACATGGGCAGCCAAAAATCTGAGTCATTCTAGGCCCGTTCCCGTCCCTGAGCACCCCCTAAACGTAACCAACTATCAAACCCTGTGGGCCCAATGCCTAAATCTCTCTTCTTAAATGCGTTCCCCCTTCCTTCCCCACTGGTCCCATCATCTCTCTCCTGGGTGAAGCAGCCTTTTCAGCAGGCTCCCCACCACCATTATCACCTTCGTAGTGGCCAGAGAACTCTTGCTAAAATGTAAACCTGATCACACCACTCCCCTGCATAAAATCCCCCTCACTGTGCTCAGGTGAGTCCACACTCACGGATATTCAGTGAACACCTCTGGGCCGAGCCACAGCCCAAACCCCTAAGCATGGCATGGGAGGCCCCCCCACAAGACCTCCGCCAGGTCTCCTCACTGATCTCTCTGCCTGTATGGCTCAACGCCCAGCACCTCACACTCGAGGATCCAGCTAGAACAAACATTTGATTCCTCAAAGGTGATGGCACCCTCTCACCTTGAGTCTTTTGCACATGCTGTTCCCTCGGCTGGGGATACTTTTCCATGCCTCTTCCTCTGGTCTCAGCTGAGATATCACTTCCTCCAGGGAACCTTCCCTGAAGCCTCTGACTGGGATAGGTGCCACTTCTCTGTGTTAGCAATTCTTCGGGCCTCTGCCTTCACTGTACTTATCACACTTGGGGTGTGACTGCCTGTTTCTTTGTCCACCTTACAAGATGGTAAGCCTTATGAGGCCAACGACTGTGTCTTATCCACTACTGTATTCCTGGGCCTGGCATATTCTAGGCAATTAAGCCTCTAATTACTACGCCGATGTCAGGGAGACTGCAGGAGTACACTTATTAAACTCAGACCTGGAAGCCAAACGCCAGCAGCTGGACCTGACTTTACCCATAGGCCCCATGACACACAGTCTGTGGAGGCTTCGGATTGGTTACTGCACAGCAGTCTCCCCCAGTGCATTCTGGGATTCTGGGACAGACACTCCAATCCGACAAAGGCGTGTGATTGATTGTTGGTCAAAAGCAACTCAGAGGAGAGGTAAGAGGGCTGAGCAACCTGTTTTCCTATTTCTGTTCAACCAAGGAAAGAGCAACTTTCTTAGTAGAAAAATTGTGCTTGGATTAAAAAGAAGAGAATTAAAAACACTCCTCTGAGTTCATACAATGAATGCATAAACTGTAGAAAACATATCCCTTGGAAGTACAGACCTGTCTTGGAAATGTTGGGGGCAGGGAGAGAGGTTTCAGCACCAGAAAGGTGAACTTCTAGGTCATTTCCCACTGGCTGGAGACATGTCCTCAAAATCTAGATCAATGAGGTCCCACAGAAACAGCCCTGAGCTGGCAGGCAGGATACCTGGGTCTGCCTGGCCCCAGCGCAGCCATCACTGGATATACGTGAGTGCTGAGAAAGCCCCTGTCTCCCTCGGGCATCATTCTCCTGTCTCGATGATGACCTTCACTCTGCAGTGCCCAAGCATCTGACTTACTCTCGCCCTGTCCTGGTGAGGAGGGTGGCGGTGGTCCCTGTCGGTCTGTGGGGTAGAGCAGCAGCTGCAAGGCCTGGGGTCGGGGGTGGGCTGACTCTTGTGCTGGGAGGAAGCTGTTCAGAAGTCCGCTGTCGTCTCTCCAATTCCAAGTCAGGAACAGCTAGGAAGGCAGAAAGAGACCAAAGTGAGTTTATGCGGAGACCATCAAAGTGTAAACTTGTATGGGTCGGAAGGATGGGGTGTGAAGAGACAGTGCCCAGCTGAGGTCACATATTAAGTTCCTGATGAGGTTAATGACCCACTAATCTCCAAACCAGAAGGTATAGTTTTTGCTGGAAGTTTGAGGTGCTAGCCTAGGCCTGTTGAGCTACTGCTAATTAGAATGCCCCCCACAGTCCACTACTTTGGCATCAGATCCAAGTCTCCAGGACCTTGCAAAGAGCTTATTGCTCCTCACGTGGGCCCCTCAGGTTCTATCATCCATCTCACCATGTTCTGGAACTGGCTTCAGAGCCGGCACCTCTCTCTGAAATTATAGTCACACCTTTGTCTGAGTGCATGTTTTGGGAGAGAGAGTTCATAACTTTAGCCTCCCAAAGGGATGGGCTACCAGAGGTTAAAAACCACTAATATGACCTGTGCATTGAAAACAATGAGCTCTTGGAATCCTACTCAGCAGTATGTAAACGAACAAAGCACAGATACAGGAAACAATCTAGATCAGTGGTTCTCAACCTTTCCGAGGGGTCGCCTAAGACCATCGGAAAATACATATTTTCTATGGTCTTAGGAACCAAGACACCACTCCTCTATCCGTCTCCAGGCCCACATGCAGATATGCCCACATACGAGTACCCGGCGACCCTTGTAAAAGGGTTGTTCGACCCCCAAAGGGGTCGCAACCCACAGGTTGAGAACCGCTGATCTAGATGAATCTCCAGAGAATTATGCTGAGTGAAAAGGCCAATCCCCAAAGGTTGTATATTGTATGATTCCATTTATATAACATTCTTGAAATGATGAAATTACAGAAACGGAGAATAAATTAGTGGTTGCCAGGAGCTAAGACGGGAGAGGGGGTGGGAGGACAGCGAGTGTGAGTATAAAGGGGCAACGTGAGGGGTCCTGTGATGGAAGGCTCTGACTCCTGTCTGAATCCATGTCAATATCTGGTTATGACCCTGCACTGTAATTTCCTAAGACGTTATCATTGGGGGAAACTGGGTGAAGGACAGGCACATGAGATCTCAGTGTATTATTTCTTACATCTGCATGTGAATCCATTACTAATAAAACGTTTAATTAAAGTTTAACTAAAACTTTTCAAAAATGATGAACCTTAAAAAGCGAACCTGAGGTGTTAGAAGTCAGAGCAGTGGTTACCTGGGGGAGGGGGAGAAGCGACTGGAAGGGCTTGAGGGGGTTCTGGGGTTCTGATCACGTTGAGTTTCTTTGTCTGTGTTCTCTTTGTGAAAATTCATCAGTTTCTGTTCTTTCCTGTGTGTTTTCTTTCCATAAAAAGCTCACATGCATTTTTTTTAAATGTAAAAAACTAAATTACAGGTAGATTTTATAGACATGGAAAGTGTTCATGATACAATGTTTAGTGAAAAAAAGGAGGTCATCAAACATTCATGTATAACATGATCCTATTTCTGTTTTAAGTACAGTAAAACCTTGGATTGCAAGTAACGCGTTTTGCGAGTGTTCCGCAAGACGAGCAAACTTTTCTAATACACTTTAACATGTTAAACAAGCGGTGTCTTGCAATACAAGTAGTTTGTTTCTGGAACGAATTATGCTTGCAAACCAAGGTATTACTGTTTATGTAAATAAACACACACACACACACACACACACATTGGCAGAGAGAGCAGCTCACAGGTTCTACACCAAAATGTCAGCAGTGACAGTTTTCAGTATTTTTTTCTTTTGTTTCCATTTCTCCACCCAATCTGTAATTTCAAATTTGCCTACAGCAAACCTGTGTGATATTTTGTATCCTAAAGGGTAATACAAGTTATTTGTTGGTTTGATTTATTTTATTTTATTTTATTTTATTGGGGAACAGTGTGTTTTTCCAGGACCCATCAGCTCCAAGTCAAGTAGCTGTTTCAATCTAGTTGTGAGGGTACACCTCAGTGGTCCATATGGGAATCGAACCAGCAACCTTGATGTTATGAGCCTGCACTCTAACAACCTGAGCCAACCGGCCGTCCCCTCGCTTGATTTTTTAATCCAGGCAATCTGGCCACCTCCCGGTCTGGCCAACCCAGGTGCATCCACTCACCCATCTCAGCTGTCAGCGCCCACTCCGGACGGAAGTTGGGCGCCCTCTGTCGGTGAGGACTGTCTCGGCTGGAGGGGTGCCTCTGGGCTCGGCTCCTGGGTATGCTGGGCTCAGAGGCTCTTCTGGGGACCGGAGGACCTCTGGTCTGGGGGTAGGAGGCTGCATCTCGGGGCACGGAGTCAGTGAAGGGCTGGGCTAATATCCCTGGGGTGCTGGGGGACCACAGAGGGAGAGATACGCTGAGGTCACATAGAGGCCACGGCCTCCAAGCCCCTCCACATCCTAGACCAATGAGTTCCTGACTTTGGGACTCTGCACCCTGGACGGGACAATATTTCTGAAGTTACATCCCTATCACACATGTATTTCTTTATAAACTGCAGAGACGTACACCTGCCCACCATGTATGCAAAATTATAAAGCTCAATTTCATGGTTAGAAAATATACAGAGAAACAGAATTTCTAATCATTTCTCCTCAGGCAGCCCTGGGTTGCCACATGGGCCTCCCAAGAGGCCTTCACCTGGCTTTAGAGGCCATCACTCTTCATGGTGGCTCCAACACTCCATACTTCACCTGAGTCCCCTCCACCCTCTTTCCTTTCCAGCTGCCTCTTCCCCAGGTAGCCACCCTGACTGCCTTTTGTCCTCATCTTCTGCTCACCTCATGCCACTCTCCCGGTTTTTCATTCATTCACCATTCACTTGTATATTTGCTCAACTAATACTTATTTCCCAGTCTGTCGCTAATTGGCTGAGTGATGCTGGGCAAGTCACTTTCCTCTCTGAGCCACGTTCCCCTTTATCAATAAGATGGGGGCAAGGAACCATCGTTGGCGGGGTGAATGAGGGCTCTGAGGATGCCCAGACCATCCGCTACTGTTCTGGGCTCACAGGCACTTCACTTCCCAGGCTATCCCAGGTCTGTGACACTGATGGGACAATGGCGTGGGGTCCCCAGGATACCTGATGTGGGAGAGCCGGTGCTCTGGGGTCTGGGTGAGGGGCGACACTCTGCTGGTTTCTGAGCCCACAAAGCCACTGTCTGTCTCGGGGGATGTCATCCAGGGCTCCTGTAAGAGGCAATGTCCCTTTAAGTCTGAGGAATGTGTCTGAGGCAGACTGGGAAGACCTTCCAGCGTCCTGGCCTGGGCTTCACATTCCAGAGCCTCTCAGGCTGGACTTGGAGGCTGGCCCAGCTCCTCACAGCCAGGCCCGGGTGTGAGGGTCCTCAGGCCCTCAGGACCCAGCAGAGCATCAGGACAGGAACAGGCACGCCACACCCTGCGAGGACCCTGAGCAGGTCCCCTTCCCTGAAGAGTGGAAGCCAGGGTCTGGAGGAGGCTGCAGATTTCCTGAGCTGAGGAACAGGAAGAGGAGGAGAAAGCGGCCCCAACTGTGGGGAGGGACTGCTCATCTCCACATGTCTCTGGCCTGAGCCCGGGCCACCATGGTCCTATGTGACTGTAGAACTGCCCAGTGAATTGGGAAAATAAAACCCATCGAACGTGCACACTTCCTGCACACCGGGTCTCAGACAAAGCACAAAGAATCCAAACCGAGCGACACGGGTGCCTGCCCTCAATGAGCTCATGGTCTAGTGCAGATTCCTTACTACAAGCTCATGAGGACTACAGGGGTGTGTGCGTGTGTGTGTGTGCGTGTGTGTACACATGCATATATATATTATTTTATGGGAGGTTCCATAGCGTAAGTTATATTTCCATAGTGATCTGTGATCCCTGTAACAGTTTAAAAATCGCTGCTCTAATGGCCCAAACAGGGCATGGAGTCAAGAACTAGCCCCAGCGGTGCTAAACAGGCTCAGAAAAAGGCCATGGGCTACAAGCTCTCAGAGGAGGAACAGCTGCTGGGAGAAGTGTGGGAGCAGGGGAAGCTGTGGCACAGAGGTGGCACCAGGCATAAACCCCGTGTGTTGGCAGGGTTGTGACTGGCAGCGATGGGAACAGGCAATCCGAGAAGGAATGGCATGAGCAAAGGCTCAGAGGCAGGAAGCGCCCCGAGGTTCTGAGCCCATGCCCCTGTGGACACTTACCTCCACGTGGGGACCACCAGCTTGGTGCAGAGACTTCTGTGGGAGGCGCTCAGACATGCCGCTTCCCTCCAGGCTGGTCAGACTGCTCTGGTGGGATGCTGTGGACTTGGTACCCCGGGAATGGGGAGGCCTGCCAGGGCTCGGAGGAGCTACCTTAGCCTTGCCCAGGCCCAGCAGGTGCCCATCCCTGGCCATGGATGCACGGAAGCCTGCTGGTTTCATGGACACCATCGGCTCCACAGTCTCGCTGGCAGGGAAGGAGAGGCACGTCAAGCCCTGGCATGAGCCGGGCAGCCCTTTCCTGGGAGCCCAGCCGTCCAGGGCACAAGCTCAGAGTCAGGCACCCCAGGGCGTCCACCCTGGTCCTGCTTTGGGACCTTGGGCAAGGCACTTCCTCTCTCTGAACCCCACTTTTCTCAACTATAAAATGTGATGCCAACAAAACTCACCCAATACACCACAGTAAAAATAGCATGGAAACAAATGAACTAAAGAAAGCATCATTTAAAGAAAGCATCATTTCCCAGGCTTCAGAAATTTGCATACCATCTTTCCTATTTCAGCCATTTCCATAAATTTCAATCTACTCAAAAAGACTTTATGTCACTATTATAAACAGAAGACCAGTATTTGGTGTTACCGATGGAAACTAACTTTGAAAGCAAATATAAGAAACACAAAAACAGTATCTTCATATTCTAGATAGATCCTGTCGCCTGCTAAAGGCTACGGGCCTGAGACCTGCTCTCCCTCCGTCCCTCCATCCCTTTCTCTCTCTCTGTCTCTGTCTCTCTCTCTCTCTCTCTAAAGGCAAACCAAGAAAGGCACTGAAGATGTAACAGTATTAAGTGAGACTCTCCTTGATGTATTTAGAAGGCCCGAGACTGACAAGGAGAATAATGTTATTTAATACTGCTTCTATCCTCCTGAAAATCACACTGCACACAGCCCAAAGTCATCTCAAGTGCAATTCATGGCACACGTTCCACCTTCTGAAGAGATGCTGAGCTACAGGCCAGGAAAGCCACTTCTAAACTGCGAAGAGCTGTCTAGCTCACTAAGACAATTACCACCCTTGTAGTGTCAGAGTTGGTGTGGGACAAGTGGGGGAGGCTCAGGGACGTACTCAAGGGGGTCCCCGTGACTTCTCTCAGCCTGTGCCGGAAGCTGCCTTGAGGGGTGCCTGGTGGTCTCTGCTTTCCCTGGAGCTGGAGCCAGCCCGTCCACTTCCATGGTTGGGCCCTGCTCTCCTTCCTGCTCCTCCTCCTCCTCTGCCCTCATGGCTTCTGGGAGGGACTTCACACTGAGGTACCTGCAGAAGGACACATAGTGGGGTGTGACTTTGCCCACTGGGGCCAGACACCCTGGCTCCCCGCTAGCGGGCACTCACCGGTCCAGGAGCCTGTGGAAGTCTTGCCCCACCTGCAGCTCCTTGTGCCTGAGTGGGGTCGGGAGGCCCAGTGGCCCGTCCCCTGACTCACTGCCAGCAGCGCTCCCCTCCACGTCCAGGTGCGGTGGGCAGGGGCCAATGCTGGGGGCATCGGGCTGGGGGCCAGAAAGGAAGAGGGGATTCAGCAGATATGTAAACATCACTTTCTAAGCTCCTCCCTCACGTCAGCCTCATGCTGCGTGCCAAAGAGGAGGAAAATAGGTTAGGCTGACCAGCTCCATCACCCTTTTATGTGCGTGCAGAATACAGGAACTGAATCACGTGGTCTTCAATACTGTCTGCTATGATGGAGTACCTACAGGCACTGTACACACCTCATTTCACAACAATCCCACCAGGACCTACGGTTATTAGGGCCCATTTTTACAGATACGTAACTGAGTCACAAATGATTTGCCTGAAGTCACACAGGAGTGAGGGGCAGAGCAGAGATTTGAACCCAGCAGCACCTCTCCTGACCCCCTCGATTCCAGTATGGACACCCAGCCCCCCAAAACACCTTCAATGTGGGAGCAAGGGTTCCCCTCAAGATGATGCACTGAGGTTTTCACCGGTCAGCACCTGGTAGGGTTTTCCTACCCTCTGGGGGGCGCAGAGCACAATGTGAGGGAGTTTCCTCTAAATCGCTGGCACTGATGCTCTCCACCAGCCCCCGCCCCACCTGACATGCAGGCCTTTCTCCCGCTCCAATCCCCAACAGACAAGTCTTCGTGGCCCAGGTGGCAAGGGACACAGGCAACAAGGCACAGGGGCTCCTCCTCGGTCACCCAATTTGCTCCACTGCAAAACACATCATGATGGCCTCTTATGGGCCGTGATGTGGACTGGAGAAAATCTACAAAGCTCATTCCATGAACAGCCCTTGTCTCCGGTCTTGGTGAACAGTCCCCAGATCCATCCAGTACCAAAAGCTAGAAGCCTGGAGGTCGTCCTTGGCTCCCGCCCCGCTCACTAACATTCCAAATCCAGCCAAATGTGCCTTCCAAACCTCTCTCCAGTCCATGTCCATCTCTCCATCTGCCCTGCCACCTTCCCATCTCTGACTGGCCTACCTGAAAACCCTCTTATACCCTGTCCTGTTGAAAAACCTAGCAGGTTAAGACCAAATGCTTGATGTTACCCACCAGCCCCTACTTCATGGGGCCCCTGCCTGCCTCTCCAGGCACATGGCTCAGATAACTGGCCTCTCACTTTCTATACTCTAGCCCTTTCCACCGGCTGTTTTTCCTGCAAGGTGGATTTCCCTCTTCTGCGCCTGGTAATTCCTACTCACCCTCAGGTGTCATTTAAACATTACTTCCTCAGGGAAAGTTTCTCTAACCCCCACCCTTCCTGCCAAGGTCAATTATTGTTAGCCTGTTACCTACTCTCACAGAACCCCGTAATTCTCCTTCAGAGCATTGATCAAAATGATAATAACTACGTAATTAGTTCAACTAGACAGAGAACTCCGTGAGGGTAGAAGCCTCCTATTTGTTTGTTTCCCACTGGATTCCCACCACGTGTCCTGATTCCTGGTATATGGTACACACTTCGTAAATATGTAGTGGAGAAACCAATTAATGAAGAAATGAAGGAAGGAACAGGCCCACGTGATTGAGCAGAGAAGTACCTCAGGGCAGAGGGTCTGGATGGCAGGCGGGGGCGCCTGGTCTGAGGGAGAAGGCGGACATGCTGGCTGGCGGGGGGAGGGGGTGGCCGAGCAGCTGTCCAGAGGCGAGTCTGCCCCGGCTCGCTGAGGTTCCTGCTGGCTCTGGTCCATGTGGTCCTTCAGCTCTTCCAGGCGAATTCCCAGCTGGAATATCTCTGCCTCCAGCTCCCTGGAATGGGAAAATATCAGCACTGGGAGCCGGGGGTGGCAGCCATATCATGCAGGTCTGGGAGGCTGGGCTTCAGAGTAGAGGCCCCGGAGAGCGCCCAGGGTGGGTCTACTTAATGCCATCCTTTGGATTATGTGGAGAACTCAAAATAAACAAGATGAAAACGGACTCCACTGGGAATCAGGAGGCCTCAGCCCGAGTCCCCCTCTGCCACCAAAAGGCCGTGGGACCTTGAGTAAATCCCTTCCCCATCTGGCCTCAGTTTCCCCATTCTCCAATGAGAGGTTTGAGCTCTTATCTCTAAAGTTACTTCTCATCGCAGTGAGTCCAGAAGGTCACCAATCTCAGCCTTCAACATTCCCCCATTTGGATATGTGCCTAATTAGACTAGGACGACTTCTCCCTGTTCCCTTCGTGTGGAAATTGTGAGGATGAAGGTGACTGAGGGAACCAGGCCTGCCCCATCTGTCCTCCCAGGCCGCCCTCCCAAGCAGATACCTGCCAGGATCAAATTTCCCAGGTGTCCCCTTGGAGCCGGCGAGCTGCTGAGCCAGGTGTTGCTCCCTGCAGGCCTTCAGGTATTCTTCCTCCAGGGCAGAGTGGGCAGCCTTTAGCAGCTGGAAACCCTGAAACCAGATGAGGCCGGGAAGATCTGAGTGCCCAGCCCCTGCGGACTCCGTCCCTGCAGACACAATGGATGAGATAGCCCATGGAAGGCCATGGGACTCACCCTGGGTCGGCGGAGGCCTCCCTGCCCCCAAGTCTCTGGGAGGCTGAGGGTGGGGCCCTCTGGAGCCTGCCTGACCTGGTCGAGCCCTCTGCCATCAGACTATCCTGGCAGAGGCATGGCATAGAGCCTTGGCACCAGCTCCAGAGAGCACCAGTCCTTCCTGGGTAGACCTATAAGAACCCCAATGTTCCATGACAGTTGTAGTGTCAAATATGCTATCACGATGTCCCGTAAGGACCTAGTACTGGAGAGACCATGGGTCTCTCTGGATTTGCAACACTGTGGGTTTTGGAACATTTGGAACCTTAGTCACTCTTTCCCCAAATCCTTATGGACTATCACAACAGATGATGTTATCATCACCATTATACTACTAATAATGATAATTATCATTACTGAGCATGGAGGCTCTATGCTAAAGCACTTCACATGATTCATTTAACCTTCAACATAAATCCTAATGAGAGGGGTATATTATTATCTTCATTTAAAGAGGAAGAAACTGAGGCACAGAGAGGGTATTTAAGTTGGTGATGGTCACACAGTGAGTGAGCAGAATTTGGACCCAGTGGGACCATTGTCCCTGGCTTAGTACCATCCCATGCCACTCACTCTATGCTGATGACAAACTGAGGCCAACGACAACCTAGAGTCTATCCCCAGTCAAGCTTGATCTTCCAATAGCTCCCAACCTCCCTGAATATGAAGGAATTAGGGTAGAAGGGAAGAGAAAAAAAACGGTTTTCATTTTCAAAGTCCTTGATCTTCCACTCAACGAGATAAGACATATCACGTTTGTAATGGAAAATGCATGTGACGTCTATATAATAACAGAGGGAAATGTACCATAATATTTTCTATAAAAAAGATGTGTTGTATTTGCCCCTCCAGACTCCCCAGCGTCAGCTGGCCTCCCTACCTGCTGGCTTCTCATGGGGTCTGAGATGTCACAGGGCAAGAGAAGAGAGACCAGGGAGGACACGGCTCCAGGCAGGTGCTAGTCCCTGGGTTTCCCTGTTCCATGTCAAGCCCCTGATGCTGCCACACCGCGGCTAACCGCCCCTTCATTGACCCCCACACCCCCAGCTTTTGAGAGCTCCATCTGTTCCGTCCTGGGACCCTGGCTGATGCAGCAGAAATCTACATTTTTATATATGATGAGAGTTATCTAGAAATACCACAGTCCAAAAGGGAATAAGCCAATAATGTTAGATCAGAGCTCTCTCCCACTTTCCCCCCCTAGTTTTCCATTTTTTCGGCAATTACTATTATAATAAAGAAAATAAAAAGAAAAGGCCTCTTTCTGGTTGCTGAGAGCAGGATAATTGGTGGGAAGCTGTGCAGGGCAGGGATTAGGAGCCTGGACTTGGGAATCAGACAGACCTGAATTCAGGCTCTGCTGTCTATGAGCTGTGTGGCTTTCAAGTTGCCTCTCCAGGATTCAGTTGCATCCCTGTTAAATGGAGGTGATGACTGTAACTGCCTTGCTGGGTTTTTAAGATGATAAAAGGAAATAAGGTACATCAAGAGCTTGCCACAGTACCTGGCACACCACCACCATTGCTTAATAAGTGGTGGCTATTGCAATATAATGATCATTATCATGGGAAGCTAAGCAGAGGCTGTTTGTTCTAAAAGGAGACACTGTGTCTGGGATTCTCTGGCCTGTCTTGCAGCAAATGAAGCTGCAGAGGTTCTGTGATGGGAGACAGCAGTTATCTGGCAGCTCCAAGGTCATCTCCTGAAGTTGGCGGTACCTTGAGTTGATCCTGGGGTGTCAGCCGTCCTGCCTGCATCAGCCCCACAAAGGACTCCACCTGGACATTGAGAGAAGGAAACACACTCCATTAATTCAGACCCTGGAAGATAAGTCCTGCAGACTCCCGAACTCAGCCACATTCATGCTTTGGCACAAGGAGCTGGGTCCTGCCTCGGGGCGTGGGTTTTCTGCCAAGCACGGAGAGGCGTGTGCCAGAAATTGATTTCACCACTGACCTCGGCCATGGCAGCCATGGGAAAAATTAAAGGGGAACCTCCAGGAATGTATTGACAGCAAAGCACACTCACTCATTTGCATGAAGACCGATGAGGCATCATATTTACTGCATCATGGTCGGGAGTCGGGGTGGGAGAGGTAACGGTTTAAATGCCTGCTAATCTGTGGAACAGTGTATAGACATCAAGAAGAGGAAAGCACATGTGTATGTTCTGAGGTATAAATGCCTCCAAGGCCTACTTTTCAGCATCAAATGGAGGTACAGGACAATGTTTCTAGTATGCTACCATCTGCATAAACTATGTGGAGAATAAAAAAGAAAAAATATAAATACATTTGCTTATATATGATAAACTATCTCTAGAAGGATGCAAGAAACTGAAACATTAATTGCTTCTGGGGAAGAGAATGTGTGGCGAGGGATGGGGATGGGGGGAGATTTTCTACTATATGTATGTATCCTTTGAATACAGTGAATTTATTGCCTATTCAGAAGTCAATATTCAGACTTGGGACATTAAAAAAGTCAAGGTACTATATAGCATACATACTTTTGTGATTATTTCTATAAATGCATGTGCACGTGTTGAACATTTTTTTTGTTTTTTTTAGCTGAGCCATCCCGCCACCTGTTGGCAGCTCAGCGGCTGCTCAGCTCAGGCCGCGACTCGAACCACAGTTGCTCAGAGCTCAAACTCTTGAGCGAGCTCTTAACCAACTGAGCCACTCAGCCGGCCCCAGTGTTGAACATTTTTGCATGGAACAGAAGGGCAAGGGTGAAAGGAAAGGCTTTTCGCTGAATATACCTTTGTACCACGTGAGGATATTTACCATGTACATCTACCGCTTTTATAAAAAAAATTTTTAATTAGGAGAAAAAAAGGAAAGGATAATTTGGGGATCATTTCTAGGAAAGCTCTAGATCAGTGCTGAAAGGTAATAAAGAAATGTATATAATTATAGTATCTAATCTATATAACATAAAATAAAAATGTAATGAAAGCTACATATCTAATTTTAAATTTTCTAGTAGCCATATTAAAAATGCAGAAACAGGTGAATTAATTTTAATAATATACTTTATAAACCTAAAGTATTACCTTGACATGTAATCAATATAAAAAATTATCAACGAAATAGTTTATATTCTTTTTATCACACTAAGTCCTTAAAATCCAGTATGTGCTTTCCACTTAGAGAACATCTCAATTTGGACGGGCCATAGGTTAAGCATTCAGTAGCCGTGTGACCTGTGCCTGGCTCCCATATCGGACAGCCCTGGATCATTGGGGGTCAGTCGGTGCCCCAGGTCCTGCTCAGTGTGATGATTTTGGCTTTGCTTCACTTTACAACACACAGGACAAAGAAAAATGTCTCTCCAGTTACAGGGCCCAGAATGGTGGTGATAAAAAGGAGTAAAGTACTTGTTCATGCTATTACAACATGGATGAGCCTAGAAAACATTATGCTAAGTGAAAGAAAGCAGACACTAAAGGACAACTACTATATG